ACCTCAGCTGTCACCTCAACGGCCAGCACTGCCACAGATGTCACCTCCACTGCTGTCACCTCTTCTGATGTCACCTCCTCTCATGTCACCCCTACTGCTGTCACCTCCACTGCCATCACCTCCAGAGACGTCACCTCCGCACTTGAAACCTCCACTGCTGTGACAGTCACAGATGTCACCTCCACAGATGTCACCTCCACTGCTGTCACCTCCACTGCTGTCACCTCCACTGCTGTCAGCTCTACTGCTGTGACAGCCACAGATGTCACCTCCACCTCTGTCACTTCAAGTCCCATCACCTCCACAGACGTCACCTCCGCACTTGAAACCTCCACTGCTGTCACCTCGAGTGCCACCACTGCCACTGCTGTCACCTCCACAGACGTAACTTCTGGTGTCACCTCAACAGATGTCACCTCTACTTCTGCTCCCTCCACAGCTGCCACCCCCACTGATGTCACCTCCTCTGCTGTCACCTCGAGTCCCATCACATCCACAGATGTCACCTCCACTTCTGCTACCTCCACTGCTGTCACCTCCACAGGCATCACTTCTGGTGTCACCTCCACTGGAGCCACTTCCAGTGCTGTCACCTCCTCTCCTGTCACCTCCACTGCTGTCACCACCACTGATGTCACCTCCACTGCTGTCACCTCCACTGATGTCACCCCTACTGCTGTCACCTCCACTGATGTCACCTCCACTGCCACCACCTCCACAGCCATCACTTCTGGTGTCACCACCACTGACGTCACCCCCACAGATGTCACCTCAACAGATGTCACCTCCACTGCTGTCACCTCTTCTGATGTCACCTCCTCTCATGTCACCCCTACTGCTGTCACCTCCACTGCCATCACCTCCACACACCTCACCTCCGCACTTGAAACCTCCACTGCTGTCACCTCAACTGTTGTCACCTCAAGTGCCACCACTGCCACAGATGTCACCTCCACTTCTGCTACCTCGAGTCCCATCACCACCACTGCTGTCACCTCCACTGCTGTCACTCCCACAGACGTCACCTCATCTGTTGTGACCACAAGTGCCATCACCTCCATGTCTGCTACCTCCACTGATGTCACCTCCACTGCTGTCACCTCTTCTGATGTCACCTCCTCTCATGTCACCCCTACTGCTGTCACCTCCACTGCCATCACCTCCACCGAAGTCACCTCCGCACTTGAAAGCTCCACTGCTGTCACCTCGAGTGCCACCACTGCCACAGATGACACCTCCACTGCTGTCACATCAACTGTTGTCACCTCAAGTGCCACCATTGCCACAGATGTCACCTCCACTGCTGTCACCTCCACTGTTGTCACGTCCTCTCATGTCACCCCTACTGCTGTCACCTCCACTGCCATCACCTCCAGAGACGTCACCTCTGCACTTGAAACCTCCACTGCTGTCACCTCCACAGCTCTGTCCAGCACAGATGCCACATCTACTGATGTCACCTCTTCTCCTGTCACCTCCTCTGCTGCCACCCCCACAGATGTCACCTCCACAGATGTCACCTCCACTGCTGCCACCTCGAGTGCCACCACTGCCACTGATGTCACCTCCACTTCTGCTACCTCCACTTCTGTCACCTCCACAGCCATCACTTCTGGTGTCACCTCCACTGAAGCCACCTCCAGTGCCATCGCCTCCTCTCCTGTCACCTCCACTGACATCACCTCCACCGATGTCACCTCCAGTACTGTCACCTCAAGTGCCATCACCTCCTCTCCTGTCACCTCCACTGCTGTCACCTCCTCTCCTGTCACCTCCACTGCTGGCACCTCCACAGCCATCACTTCTGGTGTCACCTCCTCTGCTGCCACCCCCACAGATGTCACTTCCACCGATGTCACCTCCACTGCTGTCACCTCGAGTGCCACCACTGCCACTGATGTCACCACCACTTCTGTTACCTCCACTGCTGTCACCTCTACAGGCATCACTTCTGGTGTCACCTCCACTGCTGTCACCTCCAGTCCCATCACTGCCACAGATGTCACCTCCACTTCTGCTACCTCTCCTGCTGTCACCTCTACAGATG